CACAATTCTCTACTCCCTCCCCTTGAAAAAACAAAAAAAACCAAAATTCTTGTAAAAAAAAAATCTGCATAGTCAAGCAAAACAAATTCCTGTATTGGCCATGTCCATAAAATACATGCCTCAATTTGCACATAAATCCCTCACCTCTGTCAAGAGGTAGGTAGCATATTTCATGATTATTCCCCTTGATTGGTCATTGAAGTGATCAGAATTTTGAAATCTTTCAAAGTTGTCTGCATTTACAACGCTGCTGTTGTTTAAACTGTTCTTCTGGTTTTCTTCATTTCGTTCCGCATCAGTACCAACAAGGCCTCCCAGACTTTTTGAAAAGTGACCCGTTGAGGGGTTGGGAACCAAGATGGCAGATTAGGGACACCCACCCAACTGAACTTTCCCAACATTCCCCTCCAAACACCTTTGAAATAATACTTCAAATCAAATTTTGGAGCAGCAGAACAAAAAAAAAAAACCCAAAACAAACAAACAAAAAGTCACAGTCAGACATTTTCCCAAGCCTAAGCAAACTTAAGAGGTCAGCAAGAGAAGTCTGTAAAATCGGAGTGGAAGCTTGTCCCGAGCCCACACACAGCAACTGCAGCAGCAACTTCAGGAGCTCTCAACCCAGAGACAGGGGTCAGACAACTAGTCAAAAGAGATTATAAGGGACCCTTTCCCGGCACTAGGTACAGCTGGTGCTGATTTGCAACTCTTTTGCCCTACATAGTTCTGGGTCTCAGTTCTTAGGTGGAGAAGATAAGCTGGTGGTTTGGTCACAAGCAAGCAGGAGCCCTGGTTGCAGTTCCAAAGCAAAGAGGAGCATAAGCACTTGTGGCTGCAAGGGCTGCAGGATCCCAGGGGCACTTCCTGGGTAAAGACCAGAGCACAGTGATCACACCACCTTGGAAGCACCAAAAACTTTCAGACCTCTAGAATTAGCTCGAAAACAGAAGAATGAAAAATCCTAAAGCTTGGAACAGTGCCAACCCACCCCCAGGAAAGCAGAGTCCAACTTTTACATAAAGTTCAAAGTCAAGAAATAGACTAGAAAAATGAGCAAACAAAAAAAAAAGAATTTGACCATAAAAGCTACAATGGTAGCAGGGAAGACCAAGACATAAACTCCGAAGAAGACAACAATGTGAAAACAGCTACTAAAAAAAACCTAAAAGAAAAATGCTAATTGGACCCAAACCCAACAAGAATTCCAGGAACAGTCAAAGCAATAAGACTGGTAGAGGAAAAATTGGGAAAATAAAATGAGAGTGATGCAAGAAAATTATGAAAAGAGAATTAGCAACTTGGTAAAAGAGGCACAAAAAATACTGAAGAAAATAACACCTTAAAAAACACAACTGGCCAAATGGTAAAAAGAGGCACAAAAATCCACTGAAGAAAGAACACTTTAAAAAGCAGAATAGGCCAAATGGAAAAACAGGTGCAAAAGATCACTAAAGAAAATAATTCATCAAAAATTAGAACTAGAACTAGAATTGGGCAAGCAGAAGGTAATGGCTCCATGAAACATCAAGAAACAATAAAACAAAGTCAAAAGAATGAAAAAATAGAAGAAAATGTGAACTATCTCATTGTAAAAACAACTGACCTGGAAAAGAGATCAAGGAGAGATAATTTAAGAACTATTGGACTACCTGAAAGCCATGATCAAAGAAAGAACCTAGATATTATATTTCAAGGAAATATCAAGGAAAACTGCCCCTATATCTTAGATTCAGAGGATAAAGTAGATTTCACATGTAAAACTGACATCATATTGCTTGTCTCTCAGTGGGGAAGGGAGGAGGTAGGAGGGAAGAAAATGATCTGGAACTTAAAGTTTAAAAAAAAAAAGAATTCACAAAATAAATAAATAATAAATTGAAATGTTAAAGAAAAAATGAAAGAAACTGACCTTTCTATCATTTCTTAGAGCACAATAGTCTTCTGTCAGATTTATATGCAATAATTTGTTCAGCCATTCCCCAATTGATGAGCATTCCCTTAGTTTCCAGCTTTTCACCACTACTATAAATACACATAGAATTACAATAAACATATTTGTACATATTAGTCCTTTTCTCTTTTTGATGTCTGTAGTAGTGGTGCAGCTGGTCTACACACTTTAATAGCTTTTTGGGCATAGTTGCAAACTGCTCTCTAGAACAGCTGGACCCACTCACAGCTCCACCAACAACACATTAAAGTGTAGGTATGTGCAGTCTCATTCAGGGGAAAATTTATAGCATACAAATAATATTTTCAGTCAATTATTTTAAGATTTTAAGAAAAAGACCTCAAGAGGCTTCAAATTCATTCCCTTCTTTCCAGGTGGAACTGCAACTATTCTCACCCCCGAGAATCAATTGCTTATTTTTAAAATTTCCTTGAAGAGGAATCGTTATTCCTCAACTTCCCTTGAGAAAAAACTCCTGGGTCCTACAATCTTCTTATGGGAAAATCTTCTTAATTCCATATTCACAAACTTATAAGTATCCTCATTCAGTCCTACTTTGAGGAAGAAGGATGTACCAGAGATTCACTTTCAACCCTGAGACCTATAAACTGAAAGACAGAATAGCTATAGCTGTTATTTCCACATCTGATCTCTGCTAAGTGAGGTCAAAAAAGCAATATCAGCTGGTAGTGGTGATGTGTCAAGAATGGCAACAAAGGATTTAAAGCCAGAAATTATCCTAGAGATAATCTAGCTGAGGTTCATTTTACAAATGAGTCAACTGAGGCACAAAAAGGCTGACTTGAACAAGTCATACAGTCACACAGTGACCATCATCACCAGGATTCAAATCCAGGTCCTCAGATGATAAATTCAAAGGCATTTCTATTTTAAAAAATGCAATCTAGAAGGGGGATCACCTCGCTGCCAGAAAGAACACTTGCTTTTATAAGACCACTGAGGAACCTCAAACAATACCAGTTTTAAACACAGACATCTGATCTTAATGTTTTCTAGATAGTCTTTTGTCTCTAAAATTAAACAAATATTTACTAAGTCACTATCTATACTCAGAATGTTGAACCAAGGAGTATGGGAAGTACAAAATAAGTATAATGCATAATCTCTACTCTCAATCTAGGCAGTGACACAGAGCATACAAACATAAAATGGAAAAATACTCAACAATATCCAACAAATTTACTGTGAGCCTACTGTGTGCTGAGCACTCCGCTAGGTGCTAGTATGACTGAGGGCTTTTTTTCTTTAATTCTACAATGATTTCTTCAGGTTTGAGAGAAATGAGAAATCATGGGTTTAATTCACAGTCAGGAGGACTGGTACCATGTCTGACCCAAACTTTCAATGAACTATTTATTCGCAGAAGATAAGTTTCCCATTATACATCAAGAAATACAAATATTTAAACAGCAACCTAATCTTCTGTTGCTTTCCAACCTGCTACCATATGCCTTGCCTTTTCAAGCTCGCTGTTTAACATTAAAATAACAGCCTTGCACTCCTCAAATATCTCCACTGCTGTTCTTTAGGTCTGCCACTTGAAAAGCCTGTCAGCTGCTGTCACTTGGAGTCGTCACCAATTTTCAGGATAATATTTGAGTTATTGTTTACTGCTTGTTTTATAGCACGGCTTTCCATTCAATCACCCTCCTCTCAGGTGACACACTAGGCTATCAATACCGTAAGGTAACACTGTAGTTAAAAAAGTAAAATTAAAAGGGAACGAAGGGCAGGGTAGAAGCAGCTTTATGAATATTTATGAGAGAACTTGGATACAGCAGGTGGTAATTTATTGATGGGAAAGAAGAGAGTTTTTAAAAAGAAAAGAAATCAAAAGGGAAAGAAATGATGCTGAAGGTTCTCAGATCCTAAACTGCTTTGAACAAAATCTAGAAATAAACTCAGTGAGGGAAGGAATAGATTCTAAGACCAGCAAGACATGAAAGGCACAATAATAGCTTGTCATCTCACTCCACATAAATATATGAGCTAGTGCTATAGCCCAAGTCAGAATTTCCTCAAATTATTATCTGGCAACCAGTAGTCAAGGATGCCTTTTCCCTCTCGAAGATGGAAAAAAAAACTTGTATTGAAAATTTGGGAACCTGTTTTCTAAGTAGAGCTGCTGAAATCATACTGACTAAAAATCCTGGGAGGTGATAATGCACAAGATGACCCTTCTAAATCTTTGAAGACATACTTAGTTCTGAAGAGAAGCTAAGATTGCATTCCTCTCATGCCACCTCTCTACTTTCCTCTCCCACGCCCCACAACCACGGGCCCTTACTGGTTAGTCATAAAGAAACAGGGCCAGTAGGAATCTCTGAGTCCTCTTGCTAGTTCTCCACTGAGTGCATTTTAGCACTTTCTGATCATTCGCTTCATTCTGGTAAGTAAGGCATTAATAGAGAGTGAAAATTGGATAAATGGCCCAGAAGACTGAAGGTACTTCTCAGCAGTTTCTAACTTATACATGTAAAGTCATTCTCCTAGAGGAGTTATACTAATGATTGATTAGGTATCCAGTTTATCTTCGTAGTAAAGGGAATTCATAAATTTGGTACTTTTTTTGATGAAAATTCTCAGCCTACTTTACAAATATTAATTTATTCATTTTACGTAGTTCCATTTCCCAGAGAACAAGCCTGAGTTACAAAGATAGGAAGTGGCTTGATCAAGGTTGTCCAGTGTTTTAACTGCAGAGCTGGTAGTAATATTAGATTTTATTCTTGACCCAAAGTTCCTTCCTCATTTCTCTAGTAGGTCTGTAAGCATGCAGACAATATACTATATATAGTATTTAATAGGGTCGTGATGTTTTCATTTGAAATTATGCTCTGTTACTAACTCTCTAAAAAGAATCAGGGTAGGTCACACGCCATCCAGTCTGCACACTGGCCATGCGCTCTGCAAAGAAATCACTTGAACACCAGACACTAGCTGCAGCTGTCCCAAACTAGAGAAGATCTCGGCTGGACAAAACGAAGGCCTTTATCTGAGTTAATGAAGAGAAAATCAGACTACTTACATAAAGTTTTCTGGATATTCACTCAAGGCCATGTCAATGATGTTGAGAGCATCATGGTAATGTTTCTGAGCTGACAATAAGAGTGCAAGGAGATGCAAAGAGTTGGCGTCATCCCCTTGGAGTTGAAGAGCTTGGCGAACGTAGCCCAATGCTTCTGGTATCTGGTTGAAAACAAAACCAAAAAAAGGTTTTTAAACAATGAAGAATATGCACACCAATTTTAAAGATATAACATTTCTACATGAATACTGAGATTCATGTTTAATATGCTTTATATACAGATTCTGGAAAGAAAAAAGTGTTATAATAACCCCAGGATGTCAACTACGAATCATAAAGCAACCTGAATGTTTTCAAGCAAGAATCAAATTCTTCAAAACAATAGAGCAACCAATGAAGTTAAGTGAAAGACTCAGTTTCTGCATATCACTGCCAATATCAGAACTTCAGTTTTTCCCTGGATGAACACTATTTTTCTTTGCCATATACTTCAAACTGCTTTTGATTACACACAAACAGATATGGCCAAACTGGGGAACATAACAAATAATCTGAAGTTTTTAGTGGAATTAAATTCCTTCAGCTAAACTATTTCTATTTCTCAAAGTCCTGCTGAAATGAAAGAATTTCTTAAAATAATAGGATAGGGACTGAGCCTGAGATTTCATTAATATAGGAAAATCATAGATGAGGAATCTTCTTCAACAGAAGGCTGACCTTTCTCAATTGTGCTAGACAATTGCCTGGAGGACCAAGAGATTAAGTGCCTTGCCCTGGGTCACACAACTGGTACAGACCACAGCCAGGTCTTCCAGGGTTTGAGACCAGTATCTACCATGACACGATGCCTCTCAACATAAATCAGTAGATTTATCATCATCCCAATCAGCAGAATGAACATTCTTTTCAACCAGGGAATATTTCTTCCTCTGTCCTAAGTGCATATTAATTGTAACAAATAGTGGGATTCATGGAATCTGAGGGACAGAGGAAACCTCAGAAATTGTCTAGACCCAAACCACTTCATTTTACAATGAAGAAACTGAAGCACAGAGTAAATTAATGGGTATAGTCACACCTCTGATTAGGACACATAAAAAAATAAAGCTAGGATTTGAACCTGAGTCTCCATCCCAATTCTCCATCCAGTTGTCTTTCGACCACATCATGCCTCTTCGCATCTAAATTTTAAAAAGACTCTCTTTTCCAAAATAGCTCCTCATGTAACTCAACACAAGAAGAAACTTATAATGATACTTACGACGCTGATGTACCAAAATTCACGCAGTGTAAGTCACAACCCAATCAGTTTTAAAACACAACTATTGTATATGACTTGTTCAGTATGAGTACTATGTGAGCAGTATGGGGTTCTTCTTCCACTTAGGTAAAACTCTTCAAAACTAACCAAATACAAACAGCAACAGAATGTATATGTGCTTGATTTAGAGATACCCTAAATTCCAAATGGATTCTACAGTAACTAAGAGAGAAATTTCATTTGAATTGCAAAATAGGATATCACAACTCTATCACAAATTCTTTCTTCTGTCTCTTCCCACTCTAATCCCATGTGTTGTTGGCAGCCACCCCTCAGCGCTCCTACTTTGGCTCTCCTTTAAAGTCCCCAATGACTTCATTTCTTCATAGGATATGAGGCTTTCTCTCTTCTCGAATTCAATCAATCTTCTCACCCCAAAATGTCATATTTGTTAGACTTGACACATAAGCTCTAACTTCTGGGTCACAGAATCCAAATTTGGAAGAAGAAAACTTGGACCTCATTGACTCTTACCCCCTTGTTTCACTGCTGCCAAAATGGAGCCCTGAAAGGGGAAGTGAGGTGCACTAATACTATACTGTTGGTTACTAGACAAGCTGGAGGAACAATCTGGGTCTCCAGAATCTCAGTCAAGGACTTTTTCCATCACCCCATACCCTCTAGAAAATACTGTTCCTTATAACAAGTAAAGGAGACAAAACGCCCAAACCAACAAGGTCATCAGGAAAAGCTATCTATATTGGGATACTGCTAGGGAATGGATGTGACTGCCACTAGTTACTCAACTATATTAACCACCCCTAATAAGCTGCTGAATAATGTGTAGTGGAATTCAAAGACCAAGGAGACTTAATATCAGAGTATCATGTATTCAGAGCTAGAAGGGACCTCAGAGATTTATTCAAGGGAGTAAGCTTTGTATTCTCTCTCTTACTGTCATTCACATTTATTTTTACATCAAAGGATGGGACTGGTGACCTATTCTTCTTGGTCTTTGGAAAATGCATCTGAGAGTTGCAAATTTGTGATGACTTTTGAGGATTCTTAAGGTTACAACTTTTGAGCTTTTGAGGCCATCATAATCCAATCCATTCACTTTATAGATAAGGAAGCAAAGTGCCGGAGACGTCGAGGAACTTGCATGAAGTCATACAAAATTCCACTTCCAAAAAGTTTTTAACCTCTTGAAAAAGACATATAGAAGACTTGTACAGAGAAAACAGGAGCAAACAGGAGAAAATTATTGATAGCCATACTGACAAGATTGTGGAATGAAGGAAATTCAGAGTTTGCTTAAAGGAAAGGCTTCTAGAAGGAGTGAGTTTTCCTCATCTGAAAAATGATTGTGCTGGTACAGATGGCATGTGGAGTCCCTGGATCCAGGATTCTTTGGTGGTAATAGCCATAATATGCCTGCCTTCATCTTCTCTGCAGCAGTTCTAGACGTGGTCTTCCAGAGAAATTCACTGAGACAAGTCACAAAATTGCTGGAATAGGCTTCAAAGGGCATCTAGTCCCACCCATACCTTTAACAGGAAATTCCCACAGTTCAAGAAGCACTGAAGAGGTCACAAGTGAAAAAAGTTTAAGAAGCCCTATCCTAAATTAACCTATTCCACTTTTCAACAACTCTAATTCTTACAAAGTTGTTTCCTTTTATCATACTAAAAGCTGCCTCTCTGCAACCTCCTTCCACCCACTCACTGCTCCTAACTCGGCCCCATGGGACCATTCAGAATTCCTTTTATAAGTGATAGTCACTCCAATTTTTGAAGACCAGTAACATGTCTTCTCAAACCATATTCTCTTTTTTTTCTCCAGGTTAAAAGTTTTTTAAACTGATCTTCATATGTTATGGTTTCTGGTCATCTCTCATCACTTGGAATAGCGGCATCCAACTCAAATAGAAACACATCTCAGGGGCTCCATGAATGACTAAGAAAACCACAAATTAGCATTAACTGTTACGGTATATTTTTATTTATTTTGTTAAACATTTTCCAATTACATTTTGATCTGGCTCTAGCCCTGCTGGAATTTTGTGGCCCACCCTGAAGTACAACAGTTTTGACAATCTGGATCACCCTATCATGGGCTGGAGGGGTGATCCCAGTGTAAAGCAGAGAAGGGAATTGAGTCACTCGAATCTTCATGCTACTATTGTTGCCTTGGGCAATCTTGAAGCCAGAGATGGCAAGGATTGACATCATACAGCCTGGCCTCAGGGTTTGACAAAGCCCTATAGCATATGGATTTAGTGAAAATGACTATTTAATACCTGTTGGTTTCAGTACACAGCAGCTTCCAGCGGCACCCTGACATGATGACTGGAGTGCCCACTGTACTGCCTGTTAGTTCCTGAAAAGAGAGTATGGGCCTCACAAAGACACACAGCTAGTGAGCCTCGGGAAGGAGCAAGGAGGTGTGAGGGGGAGGTAATTCCTTTCAAAATCATTCAACACGCCTGATGGCTATTACCTCCCAGCTCTCAGGTCATTCTCTTTCCTTTCCCAAAGAATTCAGTTCACAGAATTCCTCTGAATTTCACCTCCCTTTAAATCTGGAGACTTCAACCACCATGGTGATTCCACCTCCAATACCCTTAGGGACATCCCTCCAGAGCTTCCTTTTCTCCCCAGTTCCACATTTGAAAGCACCCCAGAATCATCCCCAAACAACCCTTCAACTTGAGCCTTTGATACCTCTCCTCTGAGAGCTTAAGTCTTTGATCACCTCTTCCGTGACAACTTTCCACCTTTCCTTATCTGCTGGATCTCTATCCCTAGTCACAATGGCCTCTCCGAGCTCTTGACCTCTTCAGCATCTGACACTACTGCACAAGACCTCCTTCTTCAAACATGCTCCTGTCTTTCCATGACACTGTTCTGTTGGGGTTTTCCTCCTTCTCAATCTCCTTTGCACGATGTTCATTTACGTGCCTTCCCCAGCGGATGGGTGCACATGAGGGTTCTTTCGGATCCGTCTTTTCTCGTTAACTCCCCCTTCACCCACCTCTCACGAAGAGGTGGCCCTCATCTTTGTGGAGACAAACTCCTCTACATGGACTCTCATCTCCGTTCCATCCCATTTTCTTTGGCAGATGGCCTCCATTATCATTACCACTCTCCCTCCAACCTTCAGTCTCTCCCTATCCAATGACTCTTTCTTTCTTGCCCACAAATATACTTATGTCTTCCCCATCCTTAAAAACCATCTTGATCCAATCATCCTAGCTCACTACCCTCCTGTATTCCCGCCCCCCTTCTTAGCTAAATTCCTTGAGAAAGTCATTGACACCAAATGCTTCCATTTCCTCCTCTTTCCCTCTCTTCTAAACCCTCTGCAATCTGGCTTTTGACCTCATCATTCAAACCTAACTTCTCTCTCCAAAGTCACCAATGATCTCGTAACTGCCATCCCTAATGGCCTTTTCTCAATCTTGATCCTTCTCGACCTCCCTGCAATGTATGACACCATCCCCTTCTCCTGGATACCGTCTCCTCCATAGGTTTTCCTGACATTGCTCTCTCCTGGTTCTCTTCTTACCTGCTTGACCACTCTTTCTCAGTCTCACTGACTAGCTCTTCAAGCAGGTGATGCCTACAGATGGTGAAGGTTCCCTAAATCTCTGTCCTTGGCTCCTCTCTTTTTACTCTATACTGCTTCATTTGGTGATCTCATCAGCTCTCACCGGTTTAATTATTTCTATGTAGCTGATTTTCAGATATGCACACATACATATATCCACATAGACAAATACACACATATGTGTATATATAGATATATGTGTCTATAGATAGATATATGTCCATCTCTAATCTAGAAACCCAGTCCCACATCATCAACTGCCTTTTAGACATCTCAACCTGGATGTCCTATAGACATCTTAAACTCAACATGTATAAAATAGGATTCATTATCTTTCCCTCCAAACTCTCTCTTTTGCACTATTTCCTTATTACTCCCCAACTTTCCTGTTATTGATGAGGGGACCACCATTCAGGCGTCATCCTCAGCCTCTCATTTATACTCACCCTACGTATCCAATTTCTTAGCAAGTCTTATCCTTTCTCCCTTTACAACATCTCTCCTACAAGGACCCTTCTCCCCACTTACACTCCCCTCAGCCCTGGTATAGGCCCTCACTACCTAAAGCCTTGCAGATGTTCCCCCTGCCTCAAGTCTTTCCCTATTACAGTCCAGCCTCCACTCAACTGTCAAAGTGATTTTCCTAATGCACAAGTCTGACCACATCACTTTTCTACCTAATAAACTAGAGTGTCTCCCTATTAACTCCAAAATCAAATATAAAATGCTCTTTTTGGCATTTAAAATCTATCACAAGCTGGCCCCTTCCTACCTTTCCAATCCTCTTATACCTTATTCCCTTCCACATACTCTACAATGTACGCACAACAAACAAGCTATCTTCTCACTCTGTGTCTTCTCAATGGCTATGCTTCATACCTGAAGTGCTCTTTCCAGCCTCTACCTCCTGGTTTCCAAGAAGACTCAGCTCAAGTCCCACTTTCTAGAGAAGGCCTTTCCCAGGCCTACCCACCTCACCTCCAAGCACTGCTAGAGCCTTCCCTCTGAGTTTGCCTTCCATTTGCACAATATAGATGACTGAATGACTGATTAGAAAGGTTCAAGGTCCCAATTTCACTCCAAATGGACAGAAGATCAGTTACTGTACCAAAATGAGAAACTGAAAGAATTAGACTTCGATGGCACATCTTCCTAAATTCAGTATATAATCCCAGGAAACAATGCTATACAAGCTTACCTGTCTGGATATGGCCAGCTGCAGAGCCAGATAAAAAGCTGCTAGGTGGTCCGTAGGTGACAAACTGTGGGCCCTAAAAAAGTTCAAATTATTTGCAACTATTAGTACACATGAGGATGTTTGCTTTTCTTAACAAGTGTGCAAGTTTATTTAATCATCTTTTGCTGTGCCACTAAGAATTTGAATTTTTATCTTAACGCCACCAGTGATCATTAGAACATTTTTTCTCTCCCCATCAGAAATACATACATGTGCAAAACAGAAGTGTGTCTTCAGTCGGGTAACCTCTGGCAAGAAGCCGCACTCTATTTCAATTGGTGATTTCATCAGCTCCCATGGATTCACTTATCATTTCTATGCAAATGACTCTCAGATCTATTTATGCAGCTTTAACCTCTTTCCTGACCTCCAGTCTTACGTCTCCACTTGCATCTGAGACCTCTCTAACTGTATGTCCCACAGACATCTTCAATTCGACACGTCCAAAGCTGAATTAATTATTCTCTGCCGCCACCCCCACCCCACCCCATTCTCCTCTCTTGCTAACTTCCCAATGACAGGTGAGGGCACCACCATCCTCCCAGTCACCCAGGCTCACAACTTAGTTATCATCCTTAATTTCTCATTCTCTTTAGCCCTCCTTTCCCCGACTGTTGATTCTACCTTCAAAATCTCTCTCATACAAGCGCATTTCTTCCCTCTAACACCGCCACACCTGGTACAGGCCATCATCACCTCCTGTCTGGATTATTGCAACAGCCTTTTGATTTGTCTGACTGCATTAAATTTCTTCCCACTCCAGTCCATACTCCTCTCAGCTGTCAAAGTGATCTTCTTAAAGTGCTTGTCTAACGATGTCATCCCACCGTTTCAATAAATTCCAGTGACTCCCTACTGCCTCCAAGATCGAATATAAAATCCTGTTGGCTTTTAAGCCATACGTAACCTGGCACTTTCTTATTTTCCAGTTTTCATACTCCTGAATCCAGTGACACTGGTCTCCTTGCTATTCTTCTCACAAGACACGGCAGCTCTTAACTCCAGGTATTTCCACTGGCCATCCTCCAATCCTGGAATTCCCTCCCTCCTCATCTTTGCCTCCTGGCTTCCTTGGCTTTCTTCAAGTCTCTGCTAAAATCCCACCTTGTGAAAGAAGCCTTTCCTGGCCCCCTTAATGCTAGTGCCTTCCCTTGAAGATGATCTCCAAATTATACTGTCTATATCTTATTTTTCCATAGTCATTTGCATGTCATCTCTCTCATTAGATTGTGAGCCCTCTGAGGACAAGACAATCTTTTGCCTTTTTTTTTTTGTATCCTCACCACTTAGCACAGTGTCTGGCATGTAGTAAGCACTTCTAAAATAGCTTGATGACTTGGGTGGGTTGGTAACCATAGAGGGAATGAAGAAAGGAAGTGAAAGGAATAAGCACTTATTAAGTGCCTACTAAGTACCAGTCATTGGCTAAGGACTTCTCAAATAGTATCTCATTTGATCCTCACAATAACCCTAAGAGGTAGGTACTGTTATTTATCTCCATTTTATAGTTGAGGAAACTGAGACAGACAGAGGTTGTGACTCGCCCAAGGCTACAGATGTAGTGTCTGAGGCTAGAATTGAACTCAGATCTTCCGGACTCCAAGTTCAGAGCTCCATCTACTATACCACCTACGTGCCTCAGGGGTTTGCAAAGGCTCTGAGTTGGGTAATGAAAGATTCAGGTTAGGTCAAATGGAATAGGGTTAATTAATTCAACATTTTCCCTCTGAGGGAGACTCATTGAGGGCCAAGTTCCTCTTAGGGCACAAAGACTAGATCTTTAAAATGCACAGGTAATGTGCTGATCTAGCTCTGTTAGGTTAATCTTTAGCTCCATCCTGATGTTCTAGAGGAAAATTTCTTAGATTGAGAGAAGACTCATGGTAATCAAAAGCTCAATTTTATTTATCAAGTGAGACTTTTGTTTCTGATGAAATATCAAATGGGGGGGCAAGGTGGAGAAAGACTGTCTCATTAAGATAAATCTAGTTAACTAGTTTAGCTTTCAAGTTATGATTCTTAGAACCCTTTAGTATAACCAATGATTAATTTTATTAAATGTCCTATTAATAAAACTGAAGGAGAAAAACATTGTACTTAATTAACTGAAAACATAGATTTTTGCTTTGATGTGAAAGACTATTATATTTCATCCATAAGCAACTCAAAACTTCACTGAGTAAAGATATGATTCTTTCGCTACTGGATTGTTAAACATAGCAAAACAAATTTTTACTTTCTTTTTTAAAGGTATTTCATTGCATACAAATTAAAAACACATTTTTATATTCTTCCACTGATAACGGTGATAAAAGAAGGAACAGTGCTACTAGCAAAGTACACATTCAAGATTAAAAGAAAACCCATTTTCTTTATTTTATGAAGGCAGAGCTACAAGTGTAGGATAATCTCTTACACAACAGACCCCATTAAGTCCAATAGTCATGAATTTTTTAAAAAAATGTTATTAGACCACGTCTACTGAGAAAGGAACTTGTTTAGGATAATGAGAGATGTCTCATTTTTTTTTCTTGCAGACAAAACAATTAATATTCAATACCCAGCTAGGTGGCACAATGGACAGAGCACCGGGTTTGGAGTCAGGAAGATCTGAGTTCAAATATGGCTTCAGACACTTACTGTGTGACCTTGGATAAGTTACTTAATCTTTTTACCTCAGTTTCTTCATCTGAAAAAATATGGGGATGATAAATAACATCTATCTCTAGGAGTTGTTGTGCGGATCAAATGAGATAATAATTGTAAAGCATATAGCACAGTGCCTAGCATACAGGATTGTTGTTGTTGTTAAGTCATTTTCAGTCATAATCTGACTCTTCATGACCCCATTTAAGGTTTTCTTGGCAAAGATACTGGAACGGTTTGTCATTTCCTTCTCCAGCTCATTTTACAGATGAAGAAACTGCAAACAGGGTTAAGTGACTTGCCCAGGGTCACACAGCCTGGATTTAAACTCAGGCCTTTCTGACTCCAGGCCCAGCACTCTATCTACTGTATCACCTAGCTGCATGTAGTAAGCAGTATATAAACGTTAGTTATTATTAACCTTCTGGTCGGTCTGCCTGCCTCAAGTCTTTCCCCACTCCAATATACCCTCCATTTATCACTTTAGTGATTTTTCTAAGCAGAGGTTCAATCACATTGTACACCACCACCACCACCACCACCACCCATTGCCCTCAATAAACTCCAGTGACTCCCTATTACCTCCAGGATCAAAGATAAAATCCTCTGCTTGGCATTCAGAGCCCTTCATAACCTGGTCCCCTCCGACCTTTCAAGTCTTTTTACACCTTACTTCCTGACATGCAATCTTTGATCCAATGTCACTGGCCTCCTTGACATTTCATGAACAAGACATTCCATTTCTATACCAGTCATTCTTTCTAGCTCTTTCCCATGCCTAGAACACTCTTCCTCCTCATCTCCACCCACTAGCTTCCCGGGCTTCCTTTTAAGTCCTAACTAAAGAAGTCCTTTCCCAATACTTCTTAATTCTAGAGCCTTATCTCTCTTATTAGCCTGCCTGTAGCTTATTTTTTCATATTTTTTTGTTCGTTGTTTCCCCCATCAGATTGTGAGCTCCTTGAAGGCAGGGACTGTCTTCTGCCTCTTTGTATCCCCAACACATAGCAAAGTACCTGGCATATAGCAGGCACTTATTAAATGTTTACTGACTAACTCTTCTCTTCATTGATCTTTCTTGATGATATATAATGACACCATCTTATATTTGTGCAGTGTTTTGTGGTTTGCAGTAATTTCACTAAAATACATTATCTCTTTTGTTCTCACAATAAGCCTATGAGATAGGACAGGTATTATATATCTATTTTACAGATAAGGAAAACAGGCTCAAAGGTATGTCCAAAGTCACATAGTTAATAAGTGGTGTTGGTAGAACTTGTCTGCCTCCAATTTCTTTTTCTTTTTCTGGATGGCTTTAATTTCAGTGCTTTCTCACTGCATCATGCTAAATCTTTACTAAATCATTAGTATAATCATATGCTAATAGCAGAAAGGGTACAATTCTTGCTCTTATTCAAATTCTAGTTTTGCCATTAGTTGACCCTCAGCAATTCACTTAACTTTCCTTTGCCTTAGTTTCTTTATCTATAAAATGGGGTTAATAATGCCTGTCCTAACTGCTTTACAGGGGTCGTGTAATAAAAGCATCTTGTTAAATTTAAAGCAGCACAGAAATGAGCCATTACGATTACTACTCAAAGAAACAAATGTATCCTAATCCTATGTTTGGTTTTATTTAACTGAGGTTGCCATTTTTCATATAATCTTATCCTAATCCTGTGAGAGTGTTTTTTTATCTTTCTGCAATGCCCAATTTTCAGGTTTGTTCTTTTGTCTACTGGCCATCCAAGATTTTGCATGCCACTGGAATTTTCCTCCTCACCGTCCACAAAAAGTGCAAACTGGAATGCAATGATTTGTATTTCTCTCTGCTCTACTGGTCCAACTCCCCCCCACACCCACACCACACCCACTGGTAAGGAAACTGAAATGAGGAATTAATTATTAATAATAGCTATATTAATTAATAATAAAAATAATAATTAATAGTGCAACTATTTCCCTGTCGTACCTTATTTCACTACTAATAAAACCTAATTTCTACAAACTTCAGAAAAATTTTCTCAGGGCTATAATATCCTTAGCTGCACCCACAAATTTTGAACAAATAAGTTCATGACTTATCTATAAGTGATAACAATAACCATCTTTACCCATTACCAAGTAAAACATTAGGAAATTATCCTATGAAGTAAGAGTGTGGAGGCAAAAGGAGATCAGGGCCTCAAAGCCATACCCTGAGTTCATCAGATGCCTGCAAACATACCACCTATAATCAGGACTTCTGTCCTAATCATGCCTTGTTTTGTCAAACAACAAAACTGTCTAAAAAACTAGTATTTATGTAAAACAGTAAACCTGTATCTAAAGAATCTTAAATAGGATCATTAATCAATCTGAATTTTTCTCTAAAAAGCACACAAAAGCAAGCACATTTCAAGCTTTTATTTCTCTTGATTTTGCTAATGAATCAAACTGCTCCCTTTAATTTTTCTTCATCCCCTTCTTTGCTCCCCTCACCTGAAAAGGGAAAAATATTAGAAATGCCAGAGCAAATTGCTCTTCTTGTATATACTCTGGAAAACCTTTAATTATCACGTACCTAACAGCCTCAAAAGTTAAGACCCTCGTAAAAAGAAAGGACCATTTCAAATGGGTCTAAGTAGTACATTAAGCAAAAATTATTATGTAATGTAGTAATCTATGTATAAGGACATAAAATTACTTTAAAGCTATAAGCATTACATGAAAGGGAGAAATAAATAAAGGAATGTAAACCAGCTTGACAATCTGCTCATACTCAGAGCTAGCAGTTTAAGCTGGATAAGCAAGCACTTCGTGCTTTTTAGACAGTCTTAACAACCAATCACCTGGCCCTTAAAATTAACTATTCTACATGGTAGATAAAGTATTACCATTTTTGCAGATGAGGAAATTGGGATTTAGTGAGGTTGTTAAAATATTAAAATATAGCCATACTGATTACTATAAATATATTTAATTATATTTATTTAATATACTTAATATATTTATGACTATAAAATATTAAAATATAGTCATAGACAATATAATTTTCAAAGTAACTCTCCCATACCAGTGTACATTAAATCTTTCTTAACTCCAACTTCATTCCATACTTTTGATTCAAGTCAATTCAATTGACAAGGGACTGTTCAGAGTTGTGAGGAAAGCAACACAAAAAAAATGACACAATGTTTGGTTCAAGAAGTTTGAATTCTACTGTAGGGATCTGACATGATTATACAAGGTATGGTATGAAAGAAGGTAAGGAAGAGATCAAGACAACATGCTCTAGGAAAAAAATCAAGAATAGGAAACACCCAAACCCTTCAATTTTACAGATGAGGAAAATGAGGTTCGGGGAAACCAACTGAACAAATTGCCAAAGGTCACACAGGGAGTAAATCAGTTCCTATTCCCATTTCCTACACACCAAGCTGAGGGGCATCTGAAGGGGCTTTCTGTCTACAGGTAGGTTTAAATAATGACACCATAAATATATCCAAAATAACAGAAACAAAATTAAACAATTTTGTGGTACAGTAGCTACATTACAGCACACAGATCTGTAATTTACTTAACATATAAACAAAGAATGGTCACATGATTTTTCATAGATGTCAGTAAGGGCCTGAAAACATTTATTTAAGTTACTTAAGACAAAAACCTGTCTCCAGGTTTTAACAGAAAGAAAAATATTTTAGAACAGATTGGTATCAAAACAATTCCTTACAATTCTTGGCTCTATAATGACAAATGTCTTTAATAAAAAGATCACCACCTTGTATTTCCACATATGTTTCTCTGTGGAGATCCAAGAGCTTAATAATAAAATGTACCCAAATGAATAAACAGATTAAGAATATGGATTCATATGGCAACAAATGATGAAGCAATTTTTAATACAATATGTTCTGTACTGTAGAAGACTCCCAGAGATAAAAGCACTGTTTATATAATCTTTATAAATATCTCTTCTTTTTTATACTTACAATAAGGTCTTTTCCCTCCATTATGTACAGGAGAATGGAAAGATTTACACCCACTCACCTCTGAAAAGCAAGAAGAGCCTTTCTCTGCAGGACCTCTTGCATCCCTCGCAATGAAGCTGAGAAAAGGATTTAGTCAGTCAGTGTGGTATGCAAAGGCAGAAAGCTGATATTATACACACAAAATCAATCGCAAAAAAAAAAATGTGTCAACCCATGAATGGCTACAAGGTATGCTAGGAACTGTAGGGGACAGAACAAGAATTTCATACCATCCTTTGAGGGCTTACAATCTACTTAAGGAGATATGTTCTACATCTATAAGTCAACTATAGCACAATGCTGAGGCTTACAGTGATACTGTGACAGGCTGATGGTCAGCTCCACCAGCACATGGACATGTTCTACTTCCAAAGGGAAAGGCTAGTAACTCCAGAGAGGTACCAGTCTATCTTCCCTACTACATACAAACAGCTTGATTGGTTAGAAGATGGTGCTACTGAGGACAAGGTCACTAGTCAAAGTTCTATATGGACCAAGTAAATTAAATTCTGTTTCATGGCCAAGAACAGTACCTCTAACATGGCCTTAATTCCCTTAATTAGGAGGTTGTGAATAGATCATTACAAACTCACCGTGACTACTGAAAGAAAAAAGAAAAAAAAAACCTTAAAAATGTATCTTCTACTCGTGATAAGTCAATAGTTTCATAAAGAAATAACAAACTGATTAACAGTGCAGGACTGGGAAAGGATGTTTCACCAGAAAGCAATGAGAGGAATTCCTATGGGAACAAATTTAGAGCAAGGACTGAAGAAATTCTTCAGGTAACAATCTAATCCCCACTGACTGAATGCCAAAGGGAAGAGGCAGAATTAGTGTAGTGAAAGCAGCTTTAAAATATATCTATATAATCGCCCCAATGCCAAGTTCCCTATTTCATTTAGAGTCACAGAGTTTTGGAGCTGCAAAGGACCCTGGAGTCCACTGAATTCAATTCCCTGTGAGGTAGGTAGGGCTGGGATTAACATTGCCATTTACAGGGTGAATGAGGGGCTATGGCACTAGAAGCCTGGCCTTCTGTCCAGTGCTCCTTCTACCCCATCAGGCTGCCTTCTTAATAACGCAGATGGAAGAACAGTTAAGTCCACTGAAACTATGTGTTCTCTAATATAAAAGAACAAAAATCTAATTCAACAACATACAAAATCCACAGGATATGTCATATTTTGTGGAAGATAAATAATGGAAGGATTAAGAATAATTCTTAGAATAACCAAAATAAGCATTCCCAAAATGAGTTCTCCTATAAGCACATAATAAAACCAGTAACATTTAAAAGCCATGTTAACTGTAATGAACACACCAAGTTTTCAGAACATAATCTGAGACTCTTGTACCTCAGTTATAGCTAATTCTAAAGTCCGTATTCTGCTTCTTTCCAAAGACTATACGGTTTTGATTTTCTACTGGTATATGTATAGTTAAACTTTTGTGACATAAATAGTTGCTGGTAAAGAGGGAGGGCAATCATTGTTTAGACGCAGGAAATTTACTGAAGGAGGCGAGACACTGTTTTAAATCACCATCTTTGAAGCCCAACAACCTATTCCATAGAGAAACCACCAGACTACCTTTGTGTAAGAAGTTGGGTTGGATCTGGCCCCTCACCAGGTTCATATCTCCAAACTTAAATATATCCTAGCCCATTTGTGATGATTGGCATGAGAATAAAGGAGTCTACGATGATGCAGTTCAAGTATCCTACCCTTCTTTTACATGTGGGAAGTCTCTCTTTCCTTACTTATGGAATCAGCTTCTCAAACATAGCAACATAGGCTGCAAGAAAATATCTCGTAAGTTAAATACTCCATTCCTGCCCCCACTTAATCTTACCATCAGTGGCCTGCAGACTGTAAGTGAGTCCCAAAGCTAAGTAACCTTTGGCTTTGAATTCTGATGTTTTCTCTCCCATGTCAACTACATTTTTGGCAAAATTTTCAGCTTCTTCCAACTGAAAAAGAAGACCAAGTTTAAAGATACACAGAATTTATCCTACTATCTGAAATCAGTTTTTTACATAAGTTCCCATGAGAATGTATGGTTGAAAGCAGAAATTCATTAGGTTACATTAAAAAAATATTAAGAGAAACCTCCAAACTCTGAGATCAGACTGTGGTCTCTCTTCTAGACCACTGTTACACAGGATGCTTACTCTGTTTTCTCCTTTTCTTCTTTAGCAATTAATATTCTTCTTATCTCTCTTTGCTGTTCTAAGAGTCATCACTGAGTCTCTTTCCATGTCTCATTCTATGATAATCATCTCCAATATTCTCTCAAAAAATTCATTCTACCTTTCCAAATGACATTATTTATAGTTCTAAAGAATAAAATCCATCAGCATGTTTTTAGGGTTTTTCCTTTGCTTAGTTTAGTAGCAAATACATAGATTCTCTTTTATCTTATATGTTAAAGATTATTTAGAAAGTACTCAGATGTTTTTATTCAATGCATTCACATTCATTCATTCAAAAGACATTATTAAGTAACTACTATATGTAAGATACCATTTTAGGCACTGGAGGAGATACAAAGATATATAAGATGAAATAATTGCTTTCAAGGCATTTATAATCTAGGAGAGATGATATGTACACAGAATAACATAACAAAAATTCCAATAGGCTAAATACACAAGAATTCAAAGTGTTCTTCTTAATTGAAAAAAAAACAATGACAACATTTATGGAAGGCAGTATACCAGTTTCTCCTGGAAACCTGAATTTTCATCTTCAAATTGAGCCTAAAACTCAAAAATTCATTTAAGTTGATTCCATTCCTTCACTTGATTTGTACTGGAACCGCCTAAATCCAACATTCCTTGGGCAGGTAAACATAGGTTGTATGGGTCAAAATCTTATATCTGCAGAAATTAACACAGCTTCCTGGAAGCCATGCTTGTCTAGTGAATGTTTTGTCTTTGAAAATATGATCCTTTTCTACATCTAACCAGTCAGAACTTAAATAGCTCAGAGATTAATTTCCATTATGTTTTCCTTTCTATTTCTAAAACTAGATACACTGAAAAATCAATAGGAGTTAACAATTTGGCAAAATCTTCCTTTGAGCAAATTCTTCTTACTAATGATCTTTGAGATGAAAAAATTAATCACTCAGCCAAATAGGAACCGGACATCTTTCATCATTAGGAACCTCTACAATGAGCACATGAGCTTTCTGTTTCTACTGAAGGGATACAATTTTAGAAATTCACACATCTGCACTGTACCTAAGTATAATTCAATAAACATTTGAAGAATGTCAGCGTAGAGACCTTTGCATTTAACAAATGTTTGCTGAACTGAAATGAAAGGGAAAAATAATGTAGAAAAGAAACAGAACCTGTTTTCACACAAGTTCAGCATGCTTTACACAAAATCTAATAAATGAACATCCAGATTTGTACCACAAGTAAATGAAGAGGTGATGATTCACTTTGTAAAAAAGGATTCACCAAAGGATTCCTTTAAATACTAAGCGTATTTAAAACATGAGTCAATATGTAAAATGTTTACTTATATGCTGCTTTTAAGAAGCATCCTTATTGCATAAAGTGAGATTAACATCTGAGCAACAGTTCTAATACTTCACTGCTATAATATTTTTGAGCTAATGTTCCTGTGACTATAAAATAACATGCTGAAATAATCTTTAAAGCCAATAAGGATTTTAAAGCACTAACTGACTTACCCAATGGAGGGAACCCATACACAACTTTGCAGCCAGGAGAGGAATGGTAGCATCATCAGGTTTCAGACGGATACATTCTTTCAGAACCTTTACAGCACGAGCAGACTTGACAAAAGAGGATTATTTCTGTGACACTCAATTACAAAACTTGTGACAAAGACACAAAACAAATCTTTGGGGCAGGAGGTCATGTTTATTAAAATGCTCCCTAATTATACTGTAACTTCTGACCAAACAAACAAGCAAGCCCTGCAGAGACTCTCCTCCACCACCATGTTCCCCACCGCTCCGCCAAAAAAAAAAAAAAAAAATTTTTTTATTACGTCTAATAAATGCAGGACATTGCAGCTTCTGACAAAAGTCTGGGAAAACAAGAGTAGAGATGAAAGGAAAATCTTCACTGAAATTATTTCAGTTTTTCTTAACATACAAATCATTCCTTACAATGAGATAAGAACTGAACACAGAAGTGAGTTTATATTTAAAGAGGGAAAAGGTAACATCTCATTTATCATTCACCATAGGAAGGTTTTGGCTAATTTTCCCTTAAATATTTAGGCAATCCTCCACCTCAGACTTTATGACTCACAGAACATGGATAGAATGGGTCAGAATGAAACAGTCAACTGAATTTTCTCTTCCAAAAAGTTTACCCTCAATCCACTTCACTAGAACTTAAAGGATCAGCTTGAGTATTTGGCTTTGTGTTCAAGACTCACATCTTCCTCCCAAACTTTTAGTGTTCAAATGGCTAGGGAAAGGCCCATTCCAGAGGATTATCCTCTCAATGACATGATTCTGTGTTCCCCCAGATAAGCAAAACAGGCTAGTCCAATTGCTTCAATTGTTACCTTAAATACGATTCCCAACATTTGGTTTTTCACTTCCATAACATGTAAGTTAATTTCTGGCCAAAAATTCCCCAGCACTAACGGCTGAAATTGAGAACTGCACACACAAGAGGGTAACTCACTTTTCCTGCAGCCATCAATGACAACGCAAACTGGTACCAGAGGTGGAACTCCTCAAATGCAAACTTCATAGCTCTTTCTAAACACTAATTTGAAAAGATGAAAAAGATATAAACAAACAAAAAAATTATGAACGTAGAGATAATGAACTGGCTTCAAAGTTTTAAAAGGACACCTCTATGAGGAGTGTCCAGAACATTCCATACGTGAATCATGCTTATATTCTAAAACTTCTGTAAATACTGGATGGTAAAATATTAAAACAGACCCTAATTAACTTAGAGAGCTGCCTAATTGCCAGGAAAATCAGGACTCAACTTATTGCTTCTGACACAAGCTAGTGATATCAGCCTAGACAAGTCAGCTAAAGGGGGAGTAGAAGTGGGGGGTGGGGTAGAAAGGACACCCAAGCAACTCTCTAAGGTGATAATCTGTAGACCACGTGCTGGTCAGCACTGGAAGACGTGTCCTCCCCCCCCTTTTTTTTAAGGCAATTGGGGTTAAGTGACTTGCCCAGGGTCACACAGCTAGTAAGTGTCAAGTGTTTGGTCTGAGGCTAGATTTGAACTCAGGTCCTCCTGACTTCAGGCCCAGTGCTCTATCCACTGCGCCACCTAGCTGCCCCAGGAAGTGTCCTTATTGGGAATTTCTCCCCCCCACCAAAGCAATTACGGGCCTGGCTTTAAAAAATTTATACATAAACTGAAATTGACCAAAAGCGTTTGGTGTTGTTGAATTAGGTGAAACAGTTTCCTGCAAAGGAAAAAACCTGATTCGTGGAGTTAGAAGCCCCAAGTTCAAGTTCCTACCCTGTTATTTACTAACTTTACAATCTTAGGCAACTCACTTCACTTTTCTGTTACATGAATGATGGCATTGGCTGTCCTCATCGTGTTGGTAAGTTGTGAGAAAAGCACTCTACCAAGTATCTAGCACTACATAAAAGCAAATTACCTTTATTCTTATTAAGAATATACAATGTACATTTAGCTGCTTCCAGGCCTCCTCTCCCTCCTCAAGCCTTTGCAATTTGGCTTCACACCTCCATTATTCCACTGAAACTGCTTTCTCCAAAGTTACCAATGATTTCTTAATTGCCAGATCTGACGGTATTTTCTTAGTCTTCACTACATGCAACCTATCTTCCACATGTGATAATGCTAACCACTCTCTCCTCCTGGACCATCTCTTTCCTCTGGGTTTCATGACATCGCTCTCTTCTGATTCTTCTACTACCTGCTGAACTGCTATTTCTTAGAAGTCAGTCTCCTTTGCTGGTTCATCATCCATATAATGCCACTGTGGGTATTCCCCAAGGCTCTGTCCTAGCCCCCTACTCTTGATTCCCTACACTCTCTTTGGTAACTTCTTCATCCCCTGAGCTCACATCACCACTTGTCTACTGAACATGTCAAATGGATGTCACTGAGACATCCTAAACTGTAGCACGTCCAAAAGAGAACTCATCTTTGCCTACAACTCCACTCCTCTCCCAAACTTCCCTCTTTCTTCCAAAGACACAACAATTCTTCCAGTTTCCGAGGTTCTTAACCTTGGCATTATCCTTAACTCCACCCAATCACTATTCCACAGATCCAATCTTACCACCTCCTGTCATTTACACCTACACAAAATCCAGCAACTGACTTTGCTCTCTATTTAGCCCTGACCTAACATTAAGGTCCACATCACTTCTTGCCTAGCTTACTGCAAGAGCCAACAAATTGTTCCCTTTGCCTCAGTTCTCTCCTCACTTTGGTCCAGCCTCTATACTGTGGCTAAAGTTATTTTCCTTAAATGTAGATATGACTATGTAACTCCCTAACTCAACCAACACCAGTGGCCCCCTATTGTCTCAAGGATATAATATAAACTCCATTGTTTAGCTTTTAAAGCCCACCACAAGCTGACTCTACTATCTCTCCAGCCTTGCTGGACATGACACTCCATGTCACATCTCTGGGCCTCTGCAGTAACTGTGACCCAAGCTGGGAACATCCTTCTTCCTCATTTCCAGCTCACAGAAGCCTTCTTTTCCTTTAAGACATAGCTCAAGCACCATCTTCTGATTCCCCCTAGACTGCTATGGTTCTCCCTCTGAAAATATCTTTTATTCATTCTGTACTAGAGAAGGAAATGGCGAACCACTCTGCCAAGAAAATCCCACGGACAGAAGTCCACATGGTCACAAAGAGCTGGACAAGGCTGAACGAATTAACAATTCACTCTGTCTATACTTACATGGGTGCTTGTATTCTTGCCTGTTATAATGTAAACTCTAAGTGAGCAGGGATTGTCTCAGTCGTGGAATTTGTATTTGCAACACTTGCCACAGTGCCTGCTACACAGGCAATAATTAATAAATGATTGATTAACTGCAGTGTTACCAGAACTGTCTCAGGCTTTCAAGAATTACATGTTTTTTGAGGGGGGGGGGGTTTGTTTTGTTTTGTTTCACTAAAAGAACATATAATCTAACTTTAAAAACTAGACTTTTTTTTAAAGAGAAAACTGCGAAGAAAATTCATCAAAGAGAAAAATCATTGTGGACGTGATATTTATAAGATCATTGGGGGCCTACTACTGCTTCATGAAGGTGTCATGGAAGAGGCATCTTGAGCTCAGGTGTAAAGTAAGCATAAGATACGTTCTCTGGACAGGAAAAAGAACGGTAAATTCAAGCAGAGTAGGAAGAAGTGAGAATACATGTGGATGGATAAGGAAAACATAGTCAATGGAGGGCTTTGAATAGCTAGACTGAGGAGTTCAGATTTGGTCTGATAAACAACACAGAGCTATTATTACAGGTTCTTAAACAGCAGTAACACGCAGAAAATAGGAGAACAGCGTGCGGAATGATCTGGATGAAGAGAACACAGAGGAATGGTCAGGGTGTGAAGTGATAAGAGTTTGGACTAGGATAATGTCAGTAGAATCAGAAAAGAAGGGCCAAAATAAAGATAAAGAATAGACACAATGTGGAAGGTGACTGTGGATATGAATGGTAGAAGGGACTCAAAAATGGTAGAGACCTGATAAAAACTGGGAGACTGGAAAGGAAAGTCATTGTGGAGGGAGGAAATAAATATGAATCAGTCTTAATCTAACAATAACCCTAAAATAATTCAATGTTATACACCCATTAAATGACTTAAATGTATATATGTTAAAAGAAAAATATTTTATGTTTTTTCTTCCTCTTTTCACTAGTTTGAGCAATATATATCAACTGTTTTCCTTATAAATGAAAGGAGAGCAGTCATGGAAACAGTCTGTTCTGAAAAAAAAAACTAGATGCTAAAAATAAGCGTGCACACATATTTCCTTTTATTCTAAGACCTAAAAGTTAGTATAAAACAAAATTTGTCAAGTATTTAATTTAGGCACAGCACAGAAAGGACCAGAGACAAGCCTTGCTCCACACTCCACACTCTCCAAAGAAATGTATCATTTAGCAGGGGAAAGAGAACACAACCATACATAAATACTTAGCACAGGATTCCACAAAAATAAAATCGATTTAAAGCATATATTAAGTCCTGTCTTTAACACAGAGGGGCTATGTGACCCTTCTCGATGTTTTTCTAGGAAGCTCTCTAAGATTCTAAATTACAACAGAGGTGCCTATCTATTTTGGTAGAGGGAGTCCTCACCTAGGGTTTCCCTACTCCAATGAATCAGAGAATCACAGAATGTGATGGCTGAAGGGGCCTCAGTAGGCATACAGGCCAACCCATACACAAGGGAAACCCATTATATGACATCCATGACAAGTGACTGTCTATCGTCTGCCTGAAGACCTCCAGTGAAGGGAAACCACCCTGTCTTGAGCAAGCCCTTCTACTTTTGGACAGCTCTAACTGTGAAGAACTGGTTTCCCGACATCCTAATTCCGCTTCTTTGCAATTTCTACCCATTGTTTCAGGTTCTGCCCTCTGGGGCCAAACTGAACAAGTTTCCCTTCACCACATGACAAGGTGTTCAAAAACCTGAACACTGCAACTATGATTCCCCTCCCCAACTCAGCATCTTTTCTCCCACCTAAACATATCTAGGTCCTTTTTTTTCCTTTTTTATTCTTTTTCTAGTTATTCAAATGTCAGATTTTATTGTTGCCAAAAAAAAAAACAGTTAACCAAAAGAATACCAATAACTATTGATCTGTGAACTTAATTTTCCATTTATACAAGCTCATTATACATTCATTGAAAGCATTCTTGATGAATGTATGAGGGGGGACAGGCAGACTTCCACAAATGATATTCCATAGCAGACTACATTTCCAGCCACAAAATCTTCTGTTTGGTATTCAGAGCCCTTCAAAACCTGCCTCATCCCTACATTTTCTTAAATTGAAGTTTATTTTAGACTCAAACACCAGAACACAAATACAGAATAGAGAAAAGAAAAAAAATCATGAACTTAAAAATCGGCACTTAATTATAAAGGAAGAAAAGAAAAAAAAGCATTGTCATGTGCATAGCAGAACATAGGAAAGCATTCAAAATATGTGACAACAAACTTTCATTTCAAGAAAGCCTGTATGATACTACACGTTAGTGTGTCGAGAGCTGTCCATCTTCTCTTTGCTTCCTTATAAGTTTTCTTTTGTTCTCTGCTGTGCACTTTCTTCACTTTGTTCTTCTCCCCCCCCCAAAGGCTACAATTTGAGCGTGGATATATTTCTCTATAACTATAGATATATACCTATACATATATACACATATATACTTACATATATAGACATATAATTTCCCAAATTCTACTCTTGATCTGTTTTTATGTTTGAGCATATCTCTTGTATCCTATTACCTCCTGACTCCTCTACTTTCCTTCTACCCGTTACCTTGCCCTTCTATTATTTAGCCTATCCCACTCCAAGGATTCCTCCCTATCCTCCTGTTGCCATAATTCTAGGCCCTTTATTATAGCCTCCTATAACCTATTCCCTCACCCTCTCCTCTAGAGATCCCTCTCTTGTCCTCTCCCTCCTCCCTATCCCCTCACCATTTTATTTCTTCTAAATTTACAAGACTTTTATACTCTTCCAAATATATGTACTGTTCCTCTTAAACCCATTTCCAAT